GCCAACGCGGGTCGTTGTTCATAATATCAACCACTGGTTCATCTGGCCCAATGGCGCATAACAACATTCACTCACTTGTCACTTGGAGAATGCTTATATACCAAGGTTCCCACATACAAAGACAATTAATAGTAATCAACCGAGAATGTGCAGAAAAGGATTTCCATTGACCTTTGTAGATCACGTGTTACTTTAGATCTTCTAGCATTTGGATATCAGTCAATGGCTTCCTTTAAGTTAGTTTCAAGCAAATATGTTGTTGTATATATCATGTAAGTATATAAATATCCCATTATGACACTTGATAACAAAATGCGTATCGCTGTTAAAATGGTTTCCAAATATTCCTTTCACGCAAAAAAGGCTGAAAAACGTGAAGGAAATCCTTAAAAGCCTACAAGCGCCCTATCTAGCGATAACATTACTCCCCCCTGTCGCTAGACACAGCAACGAAATACATACGTATTTTATCACCTCATACGCTGTTTTCTCCTGTCTGAGAAATCAAACTGTTAGTTATAAACCCTGACATCGCTTCAAGTCGTGATATTTATCCACGATAACCAAACCAACAGTTTGTGTCACGCGAAAGCCCATGGCGGGAAAACGTGCGACACGAGAGCCTGGCTACTGCACCTGCGCACAGAGGGAGGTCTTCGTGTGAAGTGTTTCCAGCTGTAATCAACCTCATGTACAGACATTGCAAAACAATGAGTGCTCCCCAACAACGTATGGAAAAATTTCCCCGAGTCGCTGCACAGTGGGATATGTTATCTATTGAATCAAACCCTTAGAATTCTCTTGGTGTCAATTGAACATAAATAAATAACTTTGTTATTTCCGTCCCTCGACAGTACGCAGATTCAGACCATGGAATCTCCTCGTTCTATGGGAAAACTTTAAAAAAGTGTTTTATTTTAAGACCAGGTGGTCCAGCGTTTCAGGAGGAATAATTATTTTACAGCCATCGTGTCAATTTTACGTTTTTTTAAAACATCTACATTTGTTCAAGTTTGGTCAAGTCGAAGACAAGATTTATTCATCTCTATCTCTGTTAGGAACAACATGGGGTGAGTGAGTGAGTGAGTTTATGCTTTACGTCACATCGGCAATATTCCAGCCATATCGTGACGATGGGAACAACATGGAGCTGTTAATGGGTGGGTTTAAATCCTTCTACAGTTGTGATGTCGTATGTCTGGCTGTGCCCGCTTTAAAGCTCAAAGTGAAGGGAGTCTGAGACGTATAACATTTTGGTATCATCACGAACACGTGACTAGTGCTGACAAGCCAGGACTCATTACCAGGGCGAAACTGAGTGAGTGAGTGAGTGAGTGAGTGAGTGAGTGAGTTTAAATATACCTCTTGTCAGGTTAACGTGGGAGACAGGCTATGTCGATGCAGGTTGTTGTCGTTCATCTATCAGATGAAACAAATTCAATAACTGGGAGTCTGGGGCTGACAAGGGAAAGGAAGACCATAAGCTGATCGCGTTGGAGATTCGAACCCACGACTAGCGGATCCTGGCAGTATGGGCATAGGTGTAAGATAGGGGTGACTATTGGTGACTGGGAATCACTATTGCGATAACTACTGGTATAGAAAGAAACTATTGCGATAACTACTGGTATAGAAAGAAACTATTGCGATAACTACTGGTATAGAAAGAAACTATTGCGATAACTATTGATATTGAAAGAAACTATTGCAATAAATATCTATAGTTTTATATATCATTTAGATGGATTTTAGAGTTGAATTAAACCTTGGAACTGAAGTTTCCTTTAATGTGATAACCATAACAACAAATAAAAAGTAAAGTTTGGGATATGACTGATTTGTATTTTCTTTACCCTAATAATTTAAGAAAAAGAAACTTCCAAATTACCATGTATAAATTACTACCACTCATGATCAGAAGAAAAACAAATTTGAACAGCATTGCATGTACAATCGAGACTATCAATATTCCTAACTGAAATCGATACTATTGATCGGAAACTGATTTAACAATCGATTTATTGACTTCAAGTGCTTACCAATAGCAATATATCGATATTTCGATTGATCGTGACACCCCTACTCAGTACCTCGAAAATATATGAGTGAGAGCATCTTCCTTACTTGAAGTGGGTTCGGGTAGGTGATCTTACACTCGGGGTTCGGGTAGGTAATCTTACATTCGGGGTTCGGGTAGGTGATCTTACACTCGGGGTTCGGGTAGGTGATCTTACACTCGGGGTTCGGTAGGTGATCTTACACTCGGGGTTCGGGTAGGTGATCTTACACTCGGGGTTCGGTAGGTAATCTTACACTCGGGGTTCGGGTAGGTAATCTTACACTCGGGGTTCGGGTAGGTGATCTTACACTCGGGGTTCGGTAGGTGATCTTACACTCGGGGTTCGGGTAGGTGATCTTACACTCGGGGTTCGGGTAGGTGATCTTACACTCGGGGTTCGGGTAGGTGATCTTACACTCGGGGTTCGGGTAGGTGATCTTACACTCGGGGTTCGGATAGGTGATCTTACACTCGGGATTCGGTAGGTAATCTTACACTCGGGGTTCGGGTAGGTGATCTTACACTCGGGGTTCGGGTAGGTGATCTTACACTCGGGGTTCGGGTAGGTGATCTTACACTCGGGGTTCGGGTAGGTGATCTTACACTCGGGGTTCGGGTAGGTGAACTTACACTCGGGGTTCGGGTAGGTGATCTTACACTCGGGGTTCGGGTAGGTGATCTTACACTCGGGGTACTTAGAGGAAGTAATGCGGTCATTATGTTTGAGAAAGATTATTACTTACAACATATCTTTATATAATTAATATCTAAAATTGAACTTATTGTCATTGTGTTATTAAAAGTAAATACATTGAGAAACGCTAGTTCGGACCTCGATAATCCGGAAACCTCGCTTCCGGGATATTTAAAGGAACTTTCCACCATTCCAATGATTCGTTAATCCGGACGTTGTCACTGAGAACGGTACCAGCGGATTAACGGGACATGTACAGTCAACGGCGTTAATCCTACCGCTATCGTTCCCTTGGGAATGGTCCGGGTTGACAAATGCCCGGATTAAACACGGTTTTCATTAACAAATCGTGTAATAACATTTCAATGTTTCAAGACATTCGTTTCTATCAGCATCTGCCCGTCGACAAGGAAACAGTCTTTAGAAGTAACGCTTAATTAAATATAACTAGTAACGGTTTAACGAAAAATAACTTAGCGTGGTGTCAAAGGGGAATCACGTGACCTCAACCTGAACAGGTGTGTCTAAAAGGGGTATGCTTCATGTTTCACAACTGATACTTCTGTCCTACAAAATAAATATACCACACCAGTTTATTGACACCTGTTAGATTTGAGAAAGGCGCCCATGTCAACACGCGTCTTTATTTGTACTATTGGATATTAGACATATTTCACCCACCATCAGGCACGGGCGGAACATATTTCAATCAATCAAAACACATGGAATCAGCGCCGGCGTCGGGCTCGCCGCTGGCCGTGCAAATAATTTAACCGGAAGAGGTCAGTGACAATTCCCGGCATGCACAGAAGCCACTTCCTGGCGAGTCCTTTGAACAATTGATCTCTGTTAAAACATACCGGCGAGTGTGTACAGGTATTCAATGACCGCAGACACTGGGCCCACCTATTGACTATATCGGACGGAGTCAAGTGATAATTTATGTTAACTTTCTGAACAAGCAAGAATGTATTCCATGACGGTTAAATTCAATGGCCAGCTAAGGTATCTCCAGTGATCATACCTGTAGAAAAATAGCAAGACTCCTCTACTAAACATACACAACGTTTAACCGATGTCTTGGTGTTTTTGATTCTCATATTTTAGTTTTTACTTATTCGATTTTTAGCTAGTATTTCAGTCACTATAGTCCGTGTGGTATACTGGTAAATGTATTGTATACAGGACGGTTCCAGAAGGCTTACGGGATATGTATTATCTAAAAAAGGAGGGCCGTTTAACCAATCATCAGTGACCATTATTGATGAGAATAGACTTGGCTTAATTCAACACGTGAATATCTTTACTTGTAACAACGCTATATCTTTATGTAAGGTTAAACTGTGCCAAAGAGGCTGAGTTTCCAAGACGCACTTCATTACTATTTGAACCCGACCAGGTCTTTGACTCAAGCTGGTTATCTTGGGGGAAGCAGCAAATATATTCATCTTGAGCCAAGGATCTGTTCACATTTATATTTTCTCTTGAAATGTTCTGAAAATCGTACTTTTCCACTTATTTTAGCAATACCTATGTATTGGGTTGTGTCAGATGTCCAAATCTTACTATTGTATGTAAGTAAAAATAACAATTTTCAGCCATTAAAACGTGTCTGATTATAATAATAATACAAATATGTCAATGTTTTCCGTAAGTTTAAATTTGACATTTCCATTTGGCTAAATAGAACCATTATAATACTATGGCCAAATAGAACCATTATCATACCATGACCAAATAGAACCATTATCATACCTTGACCAAATAGAACCATTATCATACCATGGCCAAATAGAGCCATTATCATATCATGGCCAAATAGAACCATTATCATACCATGACCAAATAGAACCATTATCAGACCATGGCCAGATAGAACTATTATCATACCATGGCCAAATAGAACCATTATCATACCATGACCAAATAGAACCATTATCATACCATGGACCACTAGAACCGTTATCATACCATGGCCAATGTTTTCCGTAAGTTTAAATTTGACATTTCCATTTGGCTAAATAGAACCATTATCATACCATGGCCATATAGAACCGTTATCATACCTCCTCTCACACTTCATCAAGCACTATAAATATGTACTAACCGACATATAAACACAGCCTGCCTCTCCCCCAGTACTTATATTGATCAGATAAAGGCGGTACTGGAGGTAAGTACGCAATTGTAACTGTAGAAGTGATGTTTGGTAAATATTACACTAGAATTTCACTTAAAAACTCTTACCTTTAAATTAGGATGGAGTACGTCTACTTCAACTGTTCTGAGGAGAGGAGGTAAAGTCTGCTATGCCTTGACCACTGGTCAGCGTGTATGACCAACTGTCCACCCAGGTCTATTACATACCTGTACCTGTGGCCAAGAAAAACAACCTTTCATTAACGTCTTGTTACTTGTGCCTGGACGATTGTCCGAGCTCGGACATAAGAAAACATGGCCTGACCGCTGGGCATTTCACTCCCGAATCAATTACACTGATCCGGTCCGTTCAAACATTCTTTACAAATATGCATTGGTATAATACGGTGTTTGTATTCGAGCTTATCCCGATCAGTAACTGGTTTGTCACAAATCGTCGCCTCGCGCGAATACAACGTTAAACTGCATTGATCAAGACTCGATGCTAATTGATTCGCCAGAGTCGTAATTCAGTCGATTCTTCAATCCATTGTTGATTAATGCTCACAGGACAGCAAAGAAGTCGCGGTAATTTCTTGCGTAAATATCAGGAATCACCACTTTCCGTTGGCCGCTTTCCCATTGCACGCACGGAAACTTGTTGCTCGCCCTCGAGAAAGAAAAACAACACAATCGACGTTCCTCTGCAACGGATGTCGCGTTGGAACCGTGGTCGATGTGATGTCGTTGTCGGGATGCAGAGCTGCAAATATGTTTTACGTGGCTCAGACGTCGCTGAAGTCGTAGTGAAGTATTTGAGGGGTGAAACATTGAACCCTGAATTATTATGCAATTCTGTTTTTACAGAATTGTCAATGTCTTTAGAGGGATTTTAATGCCAAAATGTTACCACGTGTATTTATTTCAAATATTTAATGAAGTTTTGGTGTTATTTTGTGAATTTCAAGCTGTTTAAGAATTAGAGGCGATTGTTTATATTTATATCAATATTTAAGGAAACCTGGGTTTAATTGTGTAATTAAATTATTTAAGCGCACGAAATGATTACATGATTAATAAGAAAAGCGATAAAACTATTTCAATTGTCAAAAGAAATGTCTGCTAAAAATGAATCCATTGTACGATTATCGTAACCATTTCAGTTACATTTTATACGGAATATAAGACTTCCAAAAATATACGTAAAATTGTGTATTGTGTGTAATTTGAATAATCAAGCGGGCTTACTAATAAATTACATCTGTCAAAACATCAAATACTTGATGAACAATGATGTGTTGGAATCAAAGGCATACAGCCTCTTCTAATTAGTTCAATATATGATCCAGAGATTAACACAAGAAACAAAGGATTACACGACGTGACATTGTAGGACAACACACTCACTCAGCAGTACACCAACAGTCATCGGTTGTACGTGCCTCACACCTGTTCATCAATGGAATACTACTGACCAACACCAAAACGTGTTTTCTTTCAATAGAATTCACAACTTGTTGCTAAAATGAACTTGTCTTGTTGACAGACTGTCTTAAATACTAAACCTTTTCAAACGCGAACCGAGTCAGAATCACTTTCTTTGAAGTGGTCTTTTTGAAGTTGAAACATTAAAGGATGATTGCTTAAATATTTTAATACTCAGGTAAAAGAGAGTCTTTTTCAAAATAATTCTTCTCACGACGACAGTGCGTTCCAACGATGCTCCTCACGATCGTTTTTCGACACATAGATCTGAAACACGACTTCTGTTACTCTGGGATTTTCGCGACATATCTCGAAATAAAATTCATTACCAGAGTTAGCTCGGAATGTTGTGGAACACTTAATGTCGATTATTAAATATAAATTTCAACCCTGAAGCTAAGAGGTATTTTCCACTTCTACCCACCCCTTCTCGGTGTTAATGGTTTCTTCACTTCAACTTCACCTTCTTTCAGATCGGTCCAACGACCATGCTGGTGCAAGACGCTTACCCAAACTGACCCGAATTGTTTGATAGGCATTACTTAGAAATTGACGGATGACAAAGTAGACACAAATTATGGATAACAACTCTTTATTTACTGTAAAGCCTTATTTGACAACGATATAAGAGGTTATACCGAAAAGTCGCCTTTACAGTAAGTTGTTATCCATAAATTGGTTTGGCTTGGTTTGTTTGTTGTTTATCGCCGCACTCAGCAATATTTCAGCTATATGACGGCGGTCTGTAAATAAGCGAGTTTGGACCAGACAATCCAGTGATTGACATCCTGAGCATCGATCCACACAATTGGGATCGATCCAAAAATTGTGTCTAGTTTGTCAGATTGGTCTCTAGCACTCCCTTGTCTATTGCTGCTGTAAGATGAGACGGGTTCGGTCGGGTGGTCAGGCCTGGTGATTTGCCTGCATTCATCTCTCTCACAGTGCTTCGACTGTTACTCATGCGTTCTGTCACTCATGCTTTCAGACTTGATATTTTGCAGGCCGCCGTGATATACATGAAGCTAGAATGTTGCTGACTACGGCGTTATACAACATTCACTCACACGATGCTGAGAACAGTCCCGTTATGAGGGTAAATAAGTCCCCACAGAATCTGCGGGACTTATACATGGGGTGGGGGGTGGGTGGGGGGGGGGGGGGTGGGGGGGGGGGGGGTCAGATTTCATGGAAGGGTTATACAGTAAAGTACGTTTATGACGAACACGCTTATATTTCGTGTATATAGGTTGTATATGTGCCTATTACGAACTACGGTTATGGCGAACTAAAATAAATGGTCCCTTTTAGTTCGTTATAACCGTAGTTTACTGTATGTTGTAATAAGAACACATGGCAACAGAGTTTGGGTCAACGGGCTTTGATCAGTATTTCAGTTATTTCAGGGCATCGGCTTACTGTGATCGGAAAGTCCGCAGTGATGCAGGTCGCAGACGTTTACCACTTTGGCGAAACCCACGAGCACGGGTATGGTGCTGAGAAGCCTAGTACCAGATCGGGGCAAACCGGGATTCGAACCCATGGTCTTTTGATTCTGGAGACCCAAGACTAAACGTAGTGCGTCTGGTTGACTTACAAATAAGAATATAATATATATAATTTTACCCCGCAACATTGAGGTTTACGTATTATATTCATATCAGAATCGAACACCAGTCTTTAAACGAACTAAATCGTTACCAACTGGCCTAACGATGCCTCTGATATCCGTTTTAAAGCACCTCGGCAACAGTTGAACTATTGTGTATTTACGTTTTGTTAACCGGTGCATTTTACGAATTTCTATTTCCTGTCAGTGCCCCCTCAAATCGACCAATATGGTGTCAATGACAACCATCTTCATCTCCGATCCTTGAAGTTGAGAACAATAAATATGGCTATTTGAGTTCTAAACATTCAACCCAATTCGAACTCCGATGTTCTGGATTTTCTCCAGCCAAGTCCTGTTCCGTTTCTTTTCACGTCCAGAAATTACATCAATTTGCAACACGTCCGTATTTTCCACAACAATGAACAACGGTTGAAAAAATGTTATTTCTTATTTTCTGGCCTTGAATCGTCACGTGAAACATTCGAGGAAAATAAAACATCGCTAATACATGATAAGACACCAGTCAACAAAAGACAATGAAACGTGTAAATAGATGAGACAGGGAAGCGATCTCTGGTATGCGCGACCGCCGTGGTGTAGCATCTCACAGTCACAGGTGAACGTTTAGTTAAGAGTTACCTCCCCCTTTATTGCGGCCGCCACACACAAGTGAAAACAAATCACCCTGTTTAATGTTGTGTGGCCCTACTTGGGGATATAACAAATCTCATTTAGATAGTGGTGTATTCTACTGAACATTCAAGGTTAGATTTACAGAAGACTAAAACGACATTTAATTAAGCGTTTTCTCCCGCTAAAACCGACGATAAAACATTGTCCGTAGAAAGTAATGGCTAACACCGAAAAATAAATTTGTTTTAAATTCGACAATTGTAACGATGAGACAGTTGTAAAAGCTGAGAAAAAAAAGAAATCCATGTAATTGTAATAATACTATTAAAAACAGATATTTCATGATAATTCAATATTAAACGTCCAAAATATATTTCCATGTTTGAATTTTAACTATCCTAAAGGATCATATTTGTGAGTTGTTTCTTTCAGATAATTACGTTTCAACCAAGAATATGTAAACAAAAGTTCTTTAATTGCATGAGGAACGTTTCGAACTAATACAAAATTTCGAACTAACGTAAACTTATTTTAAACATTTCTTGGTGCCCCGGTGGGGCAGGATACGCTTAGCTTCTCGCGAACACCTGGTATCATCACTATTTGATGTTGATTCATAAACACATACTAATCATAAAGTCGGAATCGTAAATGGGCTCTGCTTTAAGCAGACATTTCTAATGATTCTGGAAATAGTTTTGTCGCTCTTACGTAACAAACGATCGGAACTATCAATAATCATCGAGGTTGACGATTGACATCTAAACTAAAAGGTCCGTGAAGATCCGGGGTAGAATAGGTCTTAAGCAACCCATGCTTGACGTAAAAGGCGACTAAGCTTGTCGTAAGAGGCGACTAACAGGATCAGGTGGTCAGGCTCGCTGACTTGGTTGATGCATGTCATCGATCCCAATTGCTTGGATCGATGCTCATGGCATCAATTACAGGAATGTCTGGTCCGGACTTGATTACTTACAGACCGCTGTCATATAGCTGGAATATTGCTGAGTTTGGCGTTTAACAACAAACAAACCAAACCAATTTATGGATAAAAACTTCTTTATTTACTGTAAACGCGACGTTTCGGTATAACTCCTTATATCGTTGTCAAGTAAGGCTTTACTGTAAATAAAGAGTTTTTATCCATAATTTGCGGCGTTAAAAAGCAAACAAACAAACAAAACAAAAATCTAAAAACATAATCCTGGTTTAACGTAAGTCTGTCTATTTGTGAGTTATTGGAATGTTCAGTGCGTATATTTGGAGATCCATTACATGAAAATGGGCCTTGTGCGTATTATAAATGTAGATTTCAATGTTTGAAACCAAACTTTTTGTGAAGACAATCGGACATCAAAGTGCAAACAGATATATAATTGGGTACCATAGAATTGCAATGCATGTCAGTTGCGTCCAGTCCAAATATTATGTGTTTACTGCGAAGAGTTTGCGATTCCTTAATAATATTATGACGAAAAAATCAAAGGGATTTAGTGGATTTTTT